TGCAGGAAGTTTTTCTGTAAGGGGTAGGATTAGCTTATAAAATCCATAACTTTCTGTATATAAAAACAATAGAAGTCTATATAATGTCCTCATTTAGATAAATAGTAAGCGTGTGTTGAGGCTATAGCAGCAGCGTCTACAGGTTGATGTGGAGTTTGAGATCAGATGCCTCTTCAACAAATATTTTTTATGAACATAAAAAGGCAGGAACAGAACAAATAAAGAAAAGAGGATAAAAAAAACAAGAATTAATCACGGTACATGAAAGATCTCATCATATATCTTAAAAAAAGAAATACATTTTTTGTTATTAATTACTCTTAGTGATTTAATTAAATGTTCTACTTCACATAAGAAATCTATAAAAGTAGGTATTTTCTTAAGAAACCTTTGTTTGCTAAAATAGAATTTTGCCACAAGGATAAGAAAGTTAACAGCAGATTCTAAAGTTTCTTGAGATATGTAGCCTGTTTTGGCCTGAAAGAATGATGTCATGTGATTTAAAGGAGCGTATACGTTTTTTTTTTTTTGCATGTCTACATAAAGACCAGCACAGGACTTTTGCTTTTTGGAACTCAGAAGCTTAGCAGACTGACAGATAACTTGATTATATTCACTATCTTAATGTAGTAGGTATATAACTAAACTGTAGTTTTGTGATTCCACTCGTTTCTGTAATTTTCATTCAATAGATGAAGAATATTCTTGTGCCTGATGTGCATTTGCAAAGCAGACTAGCTGTCATCAGAATCAGAGTGAGAGTATCCCTATGTCAAGATATATATATATATATATATATATATATATATATAGCCATCTGCTCCCCGCGGTTCAGGACCCGCTGCTGCTGAGGCACGGAGGAGAATGAGCTCGTGGGGATCTCAGGTGGACCTGGCCGATGAGTTTAGAGAGGGGCTTTCCTTCTCGCGCTCATCGGCGGCGGGCGAGAGACAGCCGCTGGAGGATGATGTTCTCTCTTTGACATCATCTGATCCAGGGGCCAGTGCTCTGCTGGGTTCAGCCCAGGAAGAGCAGGAAATGGATGAAGGGAGCGAAGAAGCTGAGGCTGAGCCTTCTCAATCCTCCTGCCCTGCGTATGATGAGCTCTTAGAGGTTATGGATCGCGCCACGGCGAGGCTTGACTTGCTGTGGAAGCGGACTAAGGAAGTGACGTCGCGAGGTCGTCTCGAGGAACGTTATCTTTCTGGCCATAACCCTCCAGCTCAGGTGAGCCTTCCTTTCCTTCCTGATCTCCATACTGAGATCGAGAAGGAATGGAAGAGGCCGTTTTCCTCACGCATCCATCGGTTTCAGCATACCAGTTATGCGAACATCGAGGCGATGCGCGAAAACGGCTATGAGAGAATGCCCCCTGTAGAGGAGACGCTAGCTAGCTATCTCTCTATGGGTGAGACATTGTCTCTCAAAACTCCCTCTTTGCCATCCGTGCCCCTTCAAGCTACATCTAAATTGAATGGCAAGGCATACGCAGCAGCAGGTCAGGCTGTTGCTTCGCTGCACACTATGGCAGTGTTCCAGGCATACCAGGCTGACCTGCTGAAAGACCTGGATAAAGGCGAGGGCCTTTCTTCTGATGAGATGGCTGAGTTGCGCCGCACCACGGATCTTGCTCTCCGTGCTACTAAGCAGGCTGCCTCTGCCATGGGCAGATCTATGGCGGCGATGGTAGTAACGGAGAGGCAGCTGTGGGTAAACCTGGCAGACATCGGGAAGAAAGAAAGGGGTTTTCTTCTCGATGCCCCGGTTTCGCCCTCTGAACTTTTTGGTACATCCGTTGAGACGGTCGTCGAAAAGTTCAGGGAGGCGAAGGCGCGAAGGCTCAGCCTCAGCTTCTTCGCCGCCCTCAGACATCTCCTGCTCTTACTGGGCCGAACCCAGCAGAGCACCGGCCCCCGGATCAAACGATGTTAAAGAAATAACATCATCCTCCAGCAGCTTACTCCCGTCCACAGCCGACGAGCGCGAGGGGGAAAACCCCTTTTTAAACGCATCAGCCAGATCCACCTGCGATCCCCATGAGCCCATCCTCCTCCATGCCTCAGCGGCGGTGGGTCCTGAGCAGATGGCTGCCCCCCTTTCCTCGAAAAGAGAGACAAACGAGAGCGGAGCTTTTCATTAAAATACGCTCGCAATGAACGTGGATTGCCCCCTCAAGAACATCGCGGGCGTGCTCTTTGCCCAAACAAAGAACG